TGCCTAAAACCACTGAACTTAGCGTTTCACATCACCCAGAGATTCTACTTCTAGGTATAGATTTAAGAAAAACAAAACCACCTAGCCACAACAAAAAAAACCTTGTATGTGAATGAGCAAGTTAAACAGGAGAAGCAGGAAAGAGGAGGCGATGGAACAGAATTCATGAACCGCGAGGATGTCTGAGAACCCTACATGGTCCAATCCAGTTGCCACTAACCTCATGTAGTTATCTATTTGGGACTAGTCTGAGTTGGACGGTGCTGTAAGGATAAAATAAATACACACTGGATTCCAAAGACAGTATGGGGAAAAGAACATAAATATCTCCACTTTTATGTTGACAGCATGTTGAAATGACAGTATTTTGGATCTATTGGGCTAGATAGAATATATTGCTAAAACTTATTTTACCTTTGTTTTTACTTTTAAATGTGGGTAGTTGAATAAATTACATATATGACTGGCTATTTCTGCTGGCCAGCACTGACATAGACACATGGCAGTATTCCTGGGACATGGATTAGCACAGGAAGATCTCAGTGGATGGTATGTTTTTATGTGAATTAAGGAATGAGCAGATGGGTCAATAAGCTCATGAATAAATGAGTGAGCAAATGGTTGCAGGAGGATTATGTATATGCTTTAAGGGGTTGACCAATTCTAAATTGTTGAGAAGTATATACACAAATGAGTTCTAGGGAAACAGAGGTCATTAGAATAGAAGAAAGTTCATCAAGGCTTGGAGTTAGGGAATCTCAGAGAGGATTTTAGACCACCTTATTTTAAGGACCCCAAACTGTCCTTTGCCTTACTCGATTTTTTTTCTCCAAAAAGTACTTTTATGGTATTTTAATATCTGCCAGGCATTCGACATTATTAACTCATTAAAACTTCACAGCCAAAAACAAACAAACAAAAAAAAACAAACAAACAAACAAAAAAAACTTCACAGCCATCCCATCTGACAGGCATTCTAATTATCCCCTTTTCCCAGAAAAGGAAGCTAAGGCACAGAGAGTTAAGCAACTTTTCCAGGGCCACCTAATAAGTAATGGAACTAGGATTCAAACCAAGCCATCCTGGCTCCAGTGTCAACGCCTTGAACTCCTACACCATCCTACCGTGTTTCCTTCTGCCCAAGCGTTTCTCCAGTAGAAATACAGTTCTTTCCACCTCCCTCCCATTACTCATTTCTCTTCCACATCCAGTCCTCAGACTTCACATCCTAGAAAAGGTTCACAATGAACCTTACCTACCGAAAACTATCTTAAGTACCCACCCCCACTACCACTACCATTGCTCCGCAAATGAGAAATGAGCAAAGCATGTCTGCATGGTCAAATATGACAGCCAGGTAACCCAGCCTCCCGTGTTTCCTCTGTGCCCATACCACCTTCTACCTCCTCTCTCCATGACCCGGAGTCTGCCCTCCTCTACCTCCTTGGGGCAACTGGAGAGAAATGGATGTTGGAAGAGCCTGAGGCCTCACCAGTCCAAGCAAATGTTTTGCCCAGCCAGGGGTACGAAAGAGGGGGCTTTCAGATGCACCCTGGCCAGTGCCCAGTGGTCCCTCAATCCCACCCACCAGGGACTGCATTCCTTCCTCTTCTTGGATATTTCCAGTGACAGAGGAACCCTGAAGAACTTCCACCTCCTGGGAGCAGCCCTCATTGTGACCCTGTAGGACAGAGTAGAACTGGGCCTTTGGGGTTCCAAGGCTGTACGTCTTTAGAGCAGAAAGACTCATCTTTCTCCCACAGAGTGGCTGGTGGTTTTGAATTGTTGACCTTGGACTAGCAGCCCAATGCATAACCTACTAGGCCACCAGAGTTGCTATGAGTCAGAATTGAGTTGTTTTGTTTTGTTTTGTTTTGTGGTGGGGGCAGCCCTAGCCAAGCATCTCCAACATGCCCTTCAGCACTGCAACACCAAGAAGGAACGAACAGCCCATCTTACTCTTTCTCGCTCTCATTAAATTATGAATAATAATGCATTTACTTATTCTCCCACTTAAAAAGTTGTTTAAATCCTTTGAAGAATCTTGCAAGGTAGTTTGGCTAGACAGCAGGCAGGACAGTCCAGTGCCTCTGGTGGGGGGGCTAGGGTCTTCCACTCGCCTGTCTTTTGGTCCAGCAAGTAGGCATTTGGGTTGATAGTGTAGTCCTTTGTCTGGGCATCACTAGCCGTGGTGACACCTCCACATACAAACACTCTGCTGTCCCCAATGGAGCATATAGCATGGGATACATCCAAGGGGCAGTTGTTGGGCAAGAGCGGCACAGTGGTGGTCGTCTTGTTGGCCTTTATCTTCTGCAGGTTGATCTCCACGCTCTGCCGGTGACTGTGCACGCAAAGAATGTTGTCCTGCTGGAAAGAGAGCAGGGGCCGGTGGTTGAATTCAATGGGAAAGGTGATACACTGGACCACGTCCCCAGTGTTGGTGTCGAAACAGTCCACCACCCCGACCCTTGAGATGTAGCCTTTAACCAAGCAGCGCCCGGTGACAATGTACAGGTTTCGGTCGCCCTTGCTGATCACGGCGGTGCCGTCCATTGGGATGCTCATCTTCCCCGCCAGGCACCATGCCTCCTTGCGCTCATCATAGCAATAGATATTGGAGACGTACCTCCTTGGGGCAATGCTCCCACCCACCGAGTACACTGTCCCCCCGCAGGTCACCATGGTATGGAAGACAAGCCCAATGGGAAGGTCTGGCAGCTTGGTCCAGGAGTTGTCATCCATGTCATAGCGCCAAGCCGTCTTTAGCCCTGAGATCTGCTCAGTGGTGCCACCAGAGATGTAGATGTAGCGACCCGCGGAGGTGGCACTAAGTGCTGCTGCTCGATAGGGCATCTCTGAGAGCTTCAACCACAGGTTTTCCTGGATGATGTAGGCAAATACTCCATCATTAAACTGGCCGTGGGCCTTTTGACCACCTAGGATGATCACCGAATCAAGCAGGGCCCCTTTCCGCTGGTAGTTCAGCAGGCTACACGGCCGCTCCTGCTTGCGGTCCATCAGGACACTCTCAATCAGGGTGGCATGAGCCGAGTTGCTCTCCAAGCCCATCAGCTTGTTGCTGGCAAACATCAGCGTCTTGTTGGAGACGGCATTGAGATTGATATAATTGAAGAATTTCTTAAAATACTTCTCCCGCTCATCCTTCCGGAAATATACCCAATTGATGAGTGCGCTGAGAGCCTGGTCCTCGTTGAGCACATGCAGGTTTTCGTCCCGGAGCAGGCGCCCAAAGATAACGGGTGGGCAGCGCATGAAGTGCAAGGAGCCCTCAGGACTGGCCCAGTAGTGGAAATTGTCGCGAATGCCAGAGTAGGCCAAGTCTGATACCTCTTTGAGTTCAAACAGCTCAGCCAAGAAAAGGTAGCGCAAGCAGTTGGCACGGCGGATGGACTTAATCAGGAAGTCATTGCAGTGGATGCGAAGGCGCGGCGTGTTGAAATACTGGGCCCCGCGAAGCAGCTCCTCCACGTTCTGCTCCGAGACCACCACCTTGCCGCTGTAGAAGTAGTCCAGGAGCTGGTCCACTGTGCCCGGGCTCAGGTAGTTGGGATCAATGGTGATGAAGAGTTCGTCGGTGGTCTTCATATCGTTGCTGGCGATGAGGCTCTTCACCAGGGGAGAGACAGCAGCCAGCACGTTGCGATGTGCGAAGAAGACGTGGTGGTCCACAGTCAGGGCCATGTCCCAGTACTCCTTGCGCTTCCTCTGTTTGTTCAGGTTCTGCAGCACAAAGCTGTTGTAGTTCTTTTCGGTGAATTCCAATTTCATGGTGGCGCTTGTTGGCTGAGGCACACGTCCAGCAGCAGGTGCTGGAAGACGATTTTCTGAGGCCTTTTGGGGTTCAGATGGATGGTTTTTTGCAGAGCAGGTGACTAGGGAGGAGTGGGAGTGGGAGAGAGGATGACGTCACAGAGTGAGTGAGGTCATCACAATGCAGGCCCTGCTGGGGCCCTTCTCAGAGGCCCAGCAGGAGTGATTCAGAGTGGGAGAAGATGACGTCACAGAGTGAAGGTGGTTATCACACTGCATGCCCTGCGGGGGTCCTTTCTCAGTGGCACAGGGTCTCTGTCCCCTCCGATGATGCCCACAAGGCTTGTCCGTGTGCCGACCAGGATCTAGAGCCCGGGAGGAAGTTCAGGGATGTCTGAAACGCCCATCCAGGAGTTTCCTGCTGCTTTTGGAATGTAAGAGCAAGTCTGAGTGGGGCAGAAGGGCAGAAGGATAAGGAGTAGTTAGAGGAAGGAGGAAGATTTCAGATCACCCAGGAAGAATCCTCCCATTGAATCGGAGGAAAACCGAGGCCCACAGGAGAGAAGGACCTTCCCCAAGACCACACAGCCAAGCCTTCTGTAACGGAGTACTGCTGCTCCTCTTCTGGAAAGTGTCAGCTTTCTCTAGTCTCTGATCCTCAGACCTCACACCACCTCTTTCTGCCAAGCGTCCTGAGCAGCAGACGAGCAAATCTGTTCTTTGGCTTCAGCCCCTTGTGACCATGGGCTTCGTTTTTCATTCTTCAGAACAGAGGAGGGAGGCAGGAGTGGGCTAAACCAGAGAGGGCTTCTACAGACCTTCCTTTCAAGTTCAATACAGTTTCCAGACTCATTGTCAAGTGTTGGGCGCTGAGGTGAGTGAGGAGCCCGGAGAGTGAGCGCATTGGTTACATTGCTGGCCTTTCACCAGGAGGTCAGCTGCTTTGCAGGAGAAAGATGTGGTGGTCAGCGTCCATAAAGCTTCACCGTCTCGGACACTTCAGGAGGCAGTCCGCCCTGTCTGCAGGGTCCCTGTGAGTGAGATGGGCTTGGCTGCAGTGGGGCTGGTTCTGTGGTTTGGCTTTCCGTCACTAGTGGGCTTGGCCAAGCGATTCAGGCTCCAAGGCTCGGTTTTTCCATCTGTGAGCACCCCCCCCCCCCACTTCAGACTCCCCCTCCTCCCTTCTCATTCATGTTCTCCTCCCTTCTCCTTTCACGCCTGCTCAGACATCGCGTTCTGGCCACAACCAACCACCCCAGGCTTTCCCGCAAAAATGCAGTCCCCAGGATGCCTGGGCAGCGCCTCTTTCCTGGGGTGACTTCTTCGAGGAACTGCTGTTCCAGCAAAGGATGCACCCACAGGAGCAGCGTGAGCCCAGATGTGCCTCTGCTGAGTGTGTACAAGCAGGACTTCGTCTGACGCGCTTTCCACAGACCCTGCTCGGAGGCCCGCGACTCACATTAATTAGGCTTCCGTGCCCCTCCTTACGTATATGTTAACCAGATTATTCTTTTTCTGATACCATGGGCTTGGGGTGGAGTAGGGACGCGCTTGTATGAGTTCGCCGCCCCGGAAGACTATTACACGGCAGCACTTTCAGGGGGCATAATGCTTTTCACGGCGTTTGTCACCCAGCTCACAGGCTTATATGCCCGAAGCAAGTCCAATGCGGTACAAAGAATCCTGTTGTTTTTTTTCCTTAGTAAAAAGTTGCTTAACTGCGGAAACTAGAGCGTGGTAAACACAGTTCTTGACTCGTATTAAATGTTTAAAAACGACCCAAAGCTGCCATTGTTTTACTGAGACTTGTTCCCCAGCGCTTGCGTGTTCTTGTCGCCTCCTTCGGCCAGTTCCTGAGCCTCCTCAGGCCGCAGGGTGGGGCTCGCGGGTCAGCTGCAGCGTAGGAGGGCGGGAGGATGGGGTGCTCTCCCCAGAGAAGCCTGCCCCTTGCCGCCTCCCTGGGCACCGCCCAGTCCACTTTCAAGATGAAAAAGCTGCTCTCCTTCCAGGATACCCCGCCTCTCTCCTGGGCTGTGCTCCATGAAAGGATGGGGTCTCATGGGCTGTAGGAGGTGAGCCCCCTAAGGTCACCCCAGACTACTCTTGGCGTTTGGGGATCTTGACCCCCGGAGCTGGGTGCGCGCAGCCTCAGGCATCAGCCCCAGAGTGTGTAGATCCAAGTGGGTGGGTGGGGTGTTCACCGAGTCGGCCAGCTCTGGTTCAGGCCGGCACGCCCCGTCTGCTGGATGTCTTGGCGCAGGAGGTGGAGGCGGCGTGTGGGGAAGGGAGGGGGAGGGCCAGCTAGAGACCCCTACCGAGGGGCAGGGCCCTGGGGAGCCCCCCCTCCACACACACAGGGGCCTTGGGAGTGCCCCTTACACACACACACAACACACCTCAACACACACACCAGGGCCCAGAGGCCCCACTGGGGCCAGTCTCTGGGAACTGGCAGAAAGGGTCTTAGGACGTCCAGACCCTCATCTCCACTAGCTTGGGCCCCAAGGCCTCAGCTTGCCTCTTGGGAAAGCACCCCACGGAGCTCCCTCCTCAGGCATGGTCTCTTCCTCTGTTTCAGTGTCTCCTACCTCATCCTCTTCCTCATTCTAGACATAGCTTTTTCCTCACTCTGGGATTTGGTACTAAAGAACCGAATGAATAATATACTTATTTTAATACCGATTTCGTTGATGCTAGACTCCATAGAGTCCCTTATGAGTAAAAATTTGTTCTCTAAAATTTGAAAAATAATTTATAAATTATCAAGGGTTCTTGAGGGAGGGAGGGGGGAAATGAGCTGATACCAAGGGCTCAAGTAGAAAGAAAATGTTTTGAAAACGATGATGGCAACAAATGTACAAATGTGCTTGACACAATGGGATGGATGTATGGATTGTGGTAAGAGCTGTATGAGCCCCCAATAAAATGATTTAAAAACCCCAAAACAATACAAAGGAATTTGTTCTCTCCATTGGAAGAAGGCTTAGCTTTCACTCCCCCCTTCGCCACCCACTAGCTCTCCTCACCCTGTGAGAACAGGGGAGCTCCCACCCCCCCACCCCCAGCAGGAGGCTCATTGGAAGTAGCAGTGAGCACCTTGGGCAGCTGCCTGATTCTGATGACACAGAACTAACTCCTCAGTCTCCTTGGCACCCAGGTTGCCCTGGGCAGTGAGCAAGAGCCCTTGGCTGCTGGGGCAGCTCTGTCCCGGAGCAGGGACCCTGCCCTGCTGCTCCTCAGTGCTCTTTTGCCCCAGCACCCTTCAGCCTTGGGGACAGGTTGGTGGCAGAAGCAGCCCTCCTCCTTTACTTCCCGTCTTCCTGGAGTTCTCTGGTAGACCTACATCTATGTGCTAGATCTTGTTGGCTGGCTAGAGAGAGACCAGCGTGGGGAAGGACTTCTCAACTCAGCCCACATGGTGCAGGCTTGGACCCCGGGTTCCTAATGCCCTCCTCTACCCTCTGGCTACAAGAATGGGCCATCTGGTTTCCCCTGCTCTTGTAAGGTTGCCGACTTCCATGAAAAGAAGTGAGGTTGGAGTGCCAACTGCTCAGCCAACTTTGCTGTCTGGCTTTTCTCCAGCCCTCAGAAGTTCCCCTGGCCCCAGCTTTCTCCGTACTCTAGCCAACGCAGGAAACAGACTCTGGCCTAGAGGCTGGCTCCATGTCTGCCACCACCACCTGGGAGTGTGTGTGCACACACAGGCTCATATGTGGTGGAATTCTCTGGGAGCCACCGAGAAGCTCAGTGGCTGGCCATTGAGGTGCTCATAACTGATTGACCAGGTATAGCTAGACAGGACATCAGTCTGAAGCCCCAAAGCCAAGTCTCTGCACACCACCCACCCTCTGCTTCCTGCTCAGCTCGGCATTTCTGTGGCAGACACGCTGGCCATCCCTAGGGAATAGAGAGCTGGCCAAGAGAAACGAGAGAATCAAATTCTGTTCAAGAGACATTAGGGATGGGGACCCCAGTAGTCTCTTTCTGGGGACCATTGATTGATATGCCAATTTATCGGAAGCCCAAAATGCCCTCAGGTGGTGAGTCACATGGTTCACGATCTGGCCACCCACCAGCCCAGTTCACTGGAGAGGGAGGCATGCAAAGGGGCCTGAGTTACAGGACGGGAACACAGGCAAGGACTACTTTAGTCACCAACTGAGAACTGGGTATGAATCACATTGGAGGAAGATATTACACAAAAGAAAAGGATTTTATTGTCTCAGTCAATATTCCTGGAGGGAATAAGGGTCACAGCATGAGCCTGTGGTTACGGGACAGCTTATGAGGGAGCTGTAAAACGTTTGTGGAAAAATTCCATTGTCTTGGAATTTCATTTTTCCACGAACATTTTGAAGCTCCCTTGTAGACCTTCAGGAGGCACTTCTCAAAGTCTGCTCCACTCAGGCTCCTGTCTCTCAGTTGGCAACCCCCTCCCTAGGCCCCTGCTCTCACCAGCTGGAGATGCCATGGTTTCAGGGACACTTCCCTTGGCATCTGGTTGGCTCCGCCCATGTGGGCCCTGTGAAATGGCTCTGGAGGAGAACTTTGTCTCCTTTGAGGCACAAAACACAAGCCTACATTAGCGTGTCTCTGCTCCCTGGTGGGACACTCCTCAGGAACACTTGGGCCCCCTTACACATTCCAGAGGCAGCAGCAACACAGCTGCAGCCACAGCTGCCAGGAAGAGGCCTGGGCTGCCTGTGAGGGGAGAAGGGAGAGGGAAGAGGGAGAGGGAGGAGGCTGCGGACTTCCTTTCACAGCCCTGAGCTCATCCTCATCCCCCACCCCACTGACTTCATCCATCCAAGGCCACTTGGCCTGGAGCCCAGGCAGTGTAGGGGGCTCTCTAGAGCAGGCCCTGGGCCACCTCAGAGGTGGGGGAGGGGTGATTTCAGGCCTTATTCAGCTCCTAAAAAATCTGGGGGGTGGGGGTGGGGTGGGGGGGGACTAGCATCCTGAGCTCTGAAATGCAGAGGAGTTTATGTCCAGAGGTGTGGCAGGGGTGCTTTGCTATTTAAAAGTAGAAACATACAAGGAAGTACAGCCTTTTTCTCTCATTTGCTCTTGGGCCATTCCATGGGAGAATTCCAGGCAGTCTACAGGATGACACATGCCTTGCATCTGAGAAAGGGCAGCAGTTCTGGGCAGTGGAGCCCCATCCCCCAGCCCCTTTCTGAAGAGAAATGCGTTGTAGCTACAGGCATCAAAACTGTGTTTTATGTCACATTGAAATGAGGGCTGAATATTCTTCAGTTTCTACCCAAAGTAGATTATATTGCATGAGTCACATAAAATCACCTTCACGGCTTAGCATCACACACACTGGAATTTACAAAGTCCAAGGCCGGACAGGATAAGAAAGATTTTTTTTTTTAAGTTTGCTTAAAAAAATAACAAAATTTTAAAAATTGGTCTACACCCCTCCCCCTGCAATCCAAATCATTTTAATCTAATCATCATGATCAATGCTTCATGTGCTCATCCCTTTAATAAGGAATGAGTTCATGCAGAACTGTCTACCCAAGTGCATGTGATGTGCAAGAGGCTCTGTGTGTACCACGCCCAAGCACACCCATCCACAGGGACACACAGCTGAGCTTCCGTTGTTCCAGGCACTTTCCATCCATGTTCTCTGATTGTCATACAATCGGACAGGTTACTTCTTCGGAGGCAGGACATTTTCCTCAAAGAAACCCTGGTTGACCACATTCCCTGCAGGGAAGTATCTGGCCACCACGAACGAGGACCCATCACTGGCAGAAGCCTTTCCCACCCCCATCTTCTTGGTGTTCTTCCACACCATGGCTGTGAAGTGTCCTGCAGGGAAGAGAGAGGAGGGAAGGGAAATAGTCAGCACAGCCTCGAGGAAGATGTGGCAAGGGGCCCTTGAGCCCCCACCCTACCCACCCCACCCCCACCCACCATCCTGCCAGCTAGGGGGTCACTCCATCTTCACAGATGCCAGTCAGAGGAAGGAAAGACAAACCACTGAACCACTGACTGCCTGGTTTCTTAAAGCGTCAGGCCCACCCACCCAGACCTCATGGCCCAATGTCATGCAGGCTTGACTCCCCTCACCCCTGTGTCCAACGCCCCAGGGTTCACGACCTCCTAGAGGTCATGACAGCCTGGTGACCACAATAATCACCATGCCTCCCTACCTGGCCAATGCATTCAAGTCTCCCTCCCCAAACTGTACCTTTCAAAGTGACCACTGTTCTCCATGTTTCTCTCCCATGGCCACTTTTTGCCCCTTTTCTGGGCATTTCAGCAATCACCGTTGATGCTTCCCCTTTGCAAAGCACTCTGCGCTTTCAGGGCTTGTCTTAGAGCTTACTTTACTGAGCTCTAAGTTTGCAAAAGGCCACGGTGTACAGTGGTTATTGTTAGGTGTGGAGTTGGTTCCAGCCCATAGCAGCATATGCACAACAAAACGAAACATTGCCTAGTTTATTCATAAATCCATTATGAGTCTCCACATACATTCCGCCTCTGGTGAATTCCTTCCAAGAGCGCGAATTTCTTTGCCCTCAGACAGAGTGTGTTAGAGGACTAACATCACTCCCCTAGTGGGTGCAGGGAGAGGTCAAATTGCCCTAGGGAATTTACCTTGGTATGCCTTTAATGGCAATTAGGGTGCTCGGGTCCCATGGTCACGAGTGACATCCTAACTGCTTCTGAACCTATCTCATCAGCTCCCCTGACTAACTTAAGATGTGTCCCAATCACGGTCCCTTTCTGTTCCTATAAGTCATCCTGTAACTATGATATATTATCTGCGGCCAATCACGCTTCTGTGACAGTTTTCCATTGCCCTCCATGTCCCTTTGAAGTTTGCGAACCCATGCTTGCCATTACAACCTCATGCTAATGGTCTCCCTCATCCCGAGAATGTGTCTCTGTCTTAAGACTTAAGAAATTTTACTGAAACCCAAAATGACAGCCTAACATGATAGTGGGACAAGAGGAAAGTAAAAGGAAGTAGAGGAAAGAACTAGGAGGCAAAGGACATTTATACAGATTTAAATATAGGCATGTATATATGTAAATATATTTACATATAACTATAGGGTAATAGATCTATGTACATATATTTATGTTAAGTATTAAGGTAGCAGACAGGCATTGGGCTTCTACTCAAGTCCTCCCTCGACACAAAACCTGGCATTCTGTGATACTCACCTTCCCGACACGATCGCTGAAGACAAAATGGGTGCATAAGCAAATGTGGTGAAGAAAGCTGATAGTGCCTGGCTATCAAAAGATATAGCGTCTGGGGTCTTAAAGGCTTAAAGATAAACAAGTGGCCATCTAACTGAGAAGCAACAAAGTCCCCATGGAAGAAGCACACCAGCCTGTGTGATCACGAGGTATCGATGGGATCAGGTATCAGGCAGCAAAGACCCAGAACAAAAAAATCATATTGATGTGAATGAGGGGGAGTGTGGAGTGGAAACCCAAAGCCCATCTGTAGACAACTGGACATCCTCTTACAGAAGGGTCATGGGGAAGAGACAAGCCAGTCAGGGTTCAGTCTAGCACCGATGAAACATACAACTTTCCTCTAGTTCTTTAATGCTTCCTCCTCCCCACTATCATAACCTCAAGTCTACCTTACAAACCCAGCTAGACCAGAGCATGTACATGGGTACAGATAGGAACTGAAAACACAGGGAATCCAGGACAGATAAACCCCTCAGGACCAATAATGAGAGTAGCGATACCAGGAAGAGAAGGGGAAGGTGGGGGGAGAAAGGGGAAATCGATAACAATGATCTACATATAACCCCCTCCCCGGGGGATGGACAACAGAAAAGTGGGTAAAGGGAGACATCAGTCAGTGTATGACAAGAAAAAATAATAATTATAAATTATCAAATTATCGTGAGGGAGGGGAAAAATGAGGAGTTGATAATCAAGGGTTCAAGTAGAAAGAGAATGCTTTGAAAATGATGATGGCAACATATGTACAAATGTACTTGACACAATGGATGGATATATGTATTGTAATAAGAGCTGTATGAGCCCCCAATAAAATGATTTTAAAAAGGACTTAATAAATTTTCTTCTTAAATGATATTTGAGATTTGGGGTTCTCATGTACCCTACAACTCCATGAAGCCACAAGCTTTGGATCTTTCTTCTTTTCCTTATAAATGTGGGTAGACTTAGATTTCCCAGCTGAAATGCTGGCCTGTCTTTCCCCTTCTCTCTATTCTGTCTTTAGGTGACATCACCATTTCCTGGCTCCAATTTCATCTTCCAGCTCAAACCTCTTCTCTGTCCCAAACAAAATGACTTACAAGGCATTTTCCACTTGGATGACTCAAGGCCACTCAATTTTTAAAAAAAAGTGAATGGGAAACATTTTCCTTTTTCTTAAAAAAAAAAAAGGTTATTTGTGGTTATTGAGAGCATACACAGCAAAACATACACCAATTCCACCGTTTCTAAGTTGCGGTGTACATCCCTCAAACTGTGCAGCCCTTCTCACCTTCTCTTGCGAGTAGCTCCTCTCTGTAGCAGAGTCACTGCCCTGGCAGGTCCTCATCTAACCTTTCTCTGCTGGTTGCTGGTGCCCATTTGATCCCATTTAAAACTAAGACCGAACTCACTGTTATTGAGTTGATTCTGACTCATCTCAGCCTTACAAGGGGAGTAGAATTGGCCCTGTGGCGTTCTGAGACTGTAAATCTTGACTGGAGTTGAAAGCTTCATCCTTTTCCTTCGGAGCAGCTAGTAGCTTTGAACTACTAACCTCACTGTTGACAGCCCAACTCATAACCCACTCTGCCACCAGGGTTCTTCGGGTTCCAATACTGATAGTTCTTAAAAGAGAAGCATCTCAAACTTAACCCATTCAAACCTCACTCTTGAATGTGGTCCCCGAGACTCATAATTCCATCAACAGTACCTCTAGCCATGTCATTGTAGGGCTTGTCTACATTCCTCCTCCTCCCTCATCTTCCTCAAAACCACTCAGCATTAAACACTGAGGACTCTAACTCCAAAAACACAGCTGAAGTCCATCCACTAGTCTCCAGTTCACGCCCCCAACCTTGCACCTAACCACCGACATTTCTCACTCGAACCACTGCCACAGCTGCCTCTTTGACCCCGGTACCTACCTTGCACCCGGCTTCAGCTAAGTCACAGGATGATCTTTGTGAAACCCAAATTCAATCTGCTTCCTTTCCAACTTTAAAATCCTTCCGTAGCTTCCAGCCACACCCAGAATGAAATCTAGATCCCATCGCTTGCTTATAAGGTCCTGCTCACTCTCACTTTGCTGACCTCTGTCCTCTTCCTCATCTTCCAGAAACATTTTGACCCAGTGACCGCCTTTCTGCCCCTTGAACACGTCAGGTTATTTTCCACACTGGCTCCTTTGCGAAATACTCTTTGCTCACCAACATCTTCTCTTCCCTCTGTCACTTGTTCAGAGAAGCTTTGTGCAATCACCTTTTCATTTCCTGAATACTTCCTGCCATGAAATTCTTACCCAACTCTGTTTTCTTTCCCATCATTCACGGCACTCTTACCGTTTATTACTGTATACTTGCTTGGTTACTTGACTATTTTTGGCTCCTTCAAACTAGGCTAAGAACCCCACATGGGCACCAAAGTATACCCACTATCGTGGCCCAGCACGAGAGGTGTAAAAGAAATGGAATGAAGGAATGAAAGGTGTATAGAAGAACCATCCTGGCAGGACCCAGGTTCTGCCTCTACTGGCAATGCAGGCCTTCTTTGGTCTGAGCACTTTGAGACCATGACAGCTTCCCGCCCCCTTCAGTTCTCTCTGCTTAGAGTCAGGTAACCCAATTCTTCCTCAAACTACTGCCCTGCCCTCCAGACATTTCTATGACTTGCTGAAGCTTCTTAGTGCCAGCCCCCAGCTGCTTGGGCTGCCTCCCCTCCCACTCACTAGTCTTTCCAAGCTGCTCCTGCAGCATCACTTGCAGCTCTCTCCCACCTTTGGGACCCAAGGATCATTGCGATAATGGACACTTTCCCCAACGGTCATCTTTTCTCTCCGTCTTTTGGGAGTAGAGGTTGGAAATTCAGCTCTCCCACCTGTGCTGGTTAGGACCACAAGGCTACCACAGCAACCAGGCTGGTAAATGGTGCATCTACGTCCATGTCACAGCTCCTTTGTTAAATCAACTCCCAAAAGAATGATGTTTCTTCCTGTCTTGTCAACCACCATCTCCTCAGTATTTAGCCCTGGAATTGGCACATAGTAGATACTCCAAAATATTGGATGAAAAAAGGGGTGGGGGAGGAAGGAAGGAGGGAAATTGTGATCCGACTACAGGCTGTCTCTGGGTTATGAAAGAGAACCGTGTCTTTTGTAGGTAAGTTGAAACTAGTGCATATGAGTCTTATGTAGCTTTACTTTAGTGCAAGCAAAAGGAACTCTGGTGGCACAGTGGGTAAGGCGTTGGGCTGCTAACCACAAGGCCTGAGGTTCAAACCCAGCAGCCATGCTGCAGGAGGTTGAGACTGTTTCCATAAAGATTTACAGCCTGGAAATCTGCCGAAAACAGTCTGGATCAGTGGGTTGGGTAAGTGTCAAACTGCTAACCATAAGGTTGGTGGTTCAAACCTACTAGCCAATCCTCAGGCGAAAGAGGAGGCTCTCAGCACCCACAAAGGTTTACAGGCTCAGAATCCCTGTAGGTTTCTAGGAGTTTATAAGTAAGCTCTCCGGAGTGGCCATGGATTTGTGAGTTGGACCCAGCTCGATGTCAGTGGGTTTGGTTTGGGTTGGCTTCGGTGAAGAAAAGCTGCACATGCAACAAGTAAAGGCGAGTATGATGAAGAATTTGGTTCTAGTAGGATTTTGTTCAATCATTTAAAAGAGTCAATTTACAGAACATTGAATGCTATGTATGTTATACCATCGATGGATTCTGACATATGGTAATCCCATGGAACGGAATAGAACCGGCCCTGTGGGTTTCTGAGGCTTTAAATATTTATAGGAGTAGACAGCTTTATCTTTCTCCCTTGGAGTGGCTGGTGGATTTGAACCAATGACTTTGTGGTTAGCAGCTCAATGTGTAACCCACTGTGCCACCAGCGGCTGTAAATCAGATGCTTGCAACTAGGGACTGCCAGTAGCTAAGCTTACATTACTTGGTTCAGAGAAAAGAGAGGGTGCCATCTGAAGAAGCCTAACCCTTCAGGGCTCCCTTGTGTCTTGTCACTGGCAAGGACCAGAGGAGTGGTCATTGATTAAAGTGTGTTTTTTTACTGACAGCTAACTCCTTCTTTACCAGTTTAAAATGTAGGTCCAATCTGTTTCTTTGTTTACATCCACACAGGCCTCAAGATGCCTTAGGACAATAAAACATAAACATGTATCAATATACAATATAGTTAATCACAGTTGAAGTAATACAACTGAAGCAAGAATTAAGACAAACCTAAGTTCAATTATGCATCTTCACTTTTTAAAAAAGTTACTGTGGTCTGGACATATATCTATGTGTGTTTATACATAAAGCAAGACAACCAACAGGGCAACATTTGTACAGGGACAGTTCATCAGTGCCAGCGATGTCCGTCATACTGTGCAGCCAGCACCACCTTTCATCCAAATGGATTCGTCACCCTTAACGGGCTCAGTGCTCCCTTCCCCTCCAACCACGTTTACCACTTAGTCTTTTTTTAACTTTCATTAATCCTTTATTAAACAGAAGTATCAACCTCTGAGACTATTGTTTCTTGATATAGCCTCCATCTAGGTCTACATACTTCTTTTGTGTTTTTGTTTTGAATCATATTCTTTATTGTTCTCACTTATCCTAACACTCGTATAGACCACTGTTCAATGTCAACATTCACCCCAGAAGAGAGGAGAAACAGTTACTGCCAGTTCACCCTGGGGCCTTATACTTTGGCTCACTCCTGCCTGCTGCGGGTGACTCAGTCCTAACACTCGTATAGACCACTGCTCAATGTCAACATTCACCCCAGAAGAGAGGAGAAACAGTTACTGCCAGTTCACCCTGGGGCCTTACACCTTTGGCTCACTCCTGCCTGCTGCGGGTGATTCAGACTCACAGCAAGCAGCTGCTCCGGCTGAGTCGCCTCTTCAACGCCTACATCGGTTGCCTTCTCACCAAGGCTTCAGACCCTTTCTCAAGAGACCACATGCTCTGTGCACTGACCTCTCCTCTTTCTCTCTGTCTGAGACAAGGAAGAACTCACTAAGAAAATCATTAGGGACCGAAAGTGCACACCAGCGGCACACCTGCCTGGGGCAGTCGTTTTCACACGGAAGAGTTGAAGCAATCTCCTCTCCCTGGGGACTTTTCTGCCTCCACAGAGATAACTAAATTATGGGTATTTAGAGACGAATGAAAGGATACAACTTCCTTAGCAACCATCAGATACATACACACTGGTTTCTGACTCTGACCTACTAACAAAGCTTCCCTCCCCTTAAAGGGATCACATCCTCTTTCCTGTTATACATCCAAACTTCCTAGACTATATCTTGAAAATGCATTAAATACGTTACAATAGAGCCTTGCAAGGACATCCTGTGCAGTGGTAAGAAAGACAACGGCGGCTGGCTTCTTTTCTATGGATATGGAACAATCTGACGCTGCTGGGGGAAGAAGAGCACGTGCAAAACAGAGTACATTCGACGGGTAACGAATGGGGCAAGAGCCTTATCTTCTCGACGCTGGCCTGTGCTCCGAGCACTTTGAGAATGACACGGGGAGGGGAGGGAGCAAGTGCTGAACACAGGCATGGATGGGAGACTTCACAGCCTTCTATAAAAAGCTTTCAAATCTCACATCATGTAAAAGTATTACTTACTCAAAACAAACAAACAAACAGGCCAGTCATTAAACAAAATGTAGCAAGAATTCTAAGATATCCTTTCTCTGCACATAGCACAGCACAGGAAACTCGCGGATGGACCCCTTATCACATGATGCAGACCTGAGGGAAGAGATAATAGGACCTTCCAGAGAAAGGCCCTGTCACCTACAGCTCAGCTGGAAAGATGGCTCTGGGGGAGACCAAGGCGTGGAGGGTGGGCCTGCGGGTCTTTAAGGGTCTTGCCCTGATTGGCCCACCACCCCAAGCTGCACTCCAGGGACAGGGTTGGGGTCAGTTGTTCTGGTGTTTCCCTCATCATAATCCAACCACTGTCACCACGTCCATTTTGACTCTCAGTGTCCCGAGAGCACGGAGCAGAACCGCCCCCAGGGTTTCTGAGACTGTCAGTCTTTCCTGGCGTAGGCAGCTTCATCCTTCTCCCTGGGAGCAGTTGGTGGGCTCGAACCACTGACCTTTTGGTTATCAGCTCAATGTATAACCCACTATGCCAGCAGGACTCCTTTTTCCTCATTTAGGGATGGGATATGTGGAGTGAAGAGTGGGATGGGCAATGAGTGGTCCTGGAAAGACTGGCACTTGGGAGGCACCCAGAGTCTCCTGTCGTGGAGCAGGGCTACGGGGAGAGCATCAGGCTAGTGGCAGAAGGTATGAGAAGCCTCTTACCCTCTGTGGCCTGAGTCCCCGCCCCCCCTCTGCAAAAGAGGGGGCCTAAAATCCTGCCTCGGCCAGTTGTTGGGTGACTTTGATGGCTGTGACGTGGACGCACCATGACACCAGCTCTCAAGTGGCGTGCCCGTGAGCAACGCACAAACTCGCTCTGCAAACATGCGTGCTCGTGGCTCTGGTGCGTGCAAAAAGCAAGTCCAGAAAGGAAGGCAGAATGATGTTTCCTGGACACTCATCTCGACTACACGAAGGGAGGCTCTGCCTGCCAAGTGCCTGGCGCAGTGGAGGGTCAGGGAAAGAGAGGAAGAGCGCCAAGGAGAAAGCTTGGTACGGTGGCTGCCACCATGGGCTCAAATGGAAGGACGATGCTGAGGATGGTGCAGGCCCAACTGACCACGAGTGCCTGACCACGAGTGCCTCGTTCTGCTGTGCCATGGACTGGGACCGGTTCGACCGGACCTAACCACAATAGCAGGTTCTGCCTACACATCTTTAATCACAGGTAGAGGTTCTAATTGCCCCCCCCCCCAACATAATTGCCACAGAGCCATCAGTTCTCACTCGGGCCCAGAGAGCAGCTCCTTGGGCTTGGCCAGGAGCCCCTTCAGAGTTAACTGAGAGGAGAAATGCCCTGGCAGAGCCTTCCACCTCTTTCCCGAGGCCAACCCACACAGGTTTGCAAGAGCCCCTGCCCAAAGGGGGGAGCAACAAAACCACCGGAAATGGTGACTGGCTCCGAGAACTTGCCATTTCCTGATTCGGAGGTACGCCTGGGGAGGAAGAGGCCACCATGGCACTCCCATGGGGGGGACAGGGCTGGAGCAAGAACAGGGGGCCAGCAAAGCCCCTTCCCAGTTCTCCTGGGGCTTTCTGGTCAGAAATGCACACCTTTACCTTTTGAGTATGAGAGAGAGAGAGGAGGTAGGAGAGGCATGCTTCTAGGCACGACCCGACCCACTCACTAACGGCCAGGTCAGACCCAGCAGTCGCTTTGTGGGAGGAGAAGGCTGCCAGCGCCCATCGGGATTTAGTCTCCCAGACACTCGGGAGCCATCCTGCCCTGTCCTATAGGGTCGCTATGAGTCACATCTGATGGCAGTGGGTCTAGAGTGTTTTGTTTGGGGGGGCAGGTAGAAGAGGACAGAAATGACTGATTTCCCAAGGGTTAGTTGCTCTCAACAATCAGGTGCTCAACCTGAAACCCAGCCCTGCACTCACCCGTGCCCGAGGTAAAGCCCGGTTGCTGGAAGTTGTAGTTCTTGATTTCACTGTACCATCTGTCGGCCACCTCCTTTCCTGTAAGGAGAAGAAGCTCCTCACCAAACCCACCCCTCGGCCTCTTCCCATCCACCCTGAACCGCTCAGCCCACAGCCAATGTTGCACAAAGAGGAAGCATCTTGACGGCCCACGGACACTTAGGAGCAGGTCCAGGCAGAGGAAGGGCCTGGTTGGGGACCAGCCGGGACAGCTGTGGGCTGGGCTGCGTCAGGAGGCTGCGTCTGCGACCCAGCCCTGCCACGGACTGTGCAAGGCCAGTCAGGCCCTTCCTCTGCTCCTCGGTGACACATCATCACCTAAGAGGGCGGAGTGAGCCCCCAGGGCCTTCTATTGCTGCTCTGGCTTGCTCCCACTCAGCTCTCATCCAGCCCCTTGTGCACACAGTAAGGGCTGAGGACCCGCTGCTGGCAGGAAGGGCCTCTCCTGGAGCATCCCAGAGACCTCACTGCAACGGCTGGAGCCCAGAGCCTCCCACCTCAGACTAGACTGTGTGCACGGACCACCTGGGATCTTGCTGAAATGCAGACTCTTGGGTCTAGAATGGGGCCACGAGCGCTGGTTGCCCAGTGGCTAAAGCACTCAACTGCAGATCTAAAGGTCCGCAGTTTAAGCCAAGGTGACCAGATTTAAAGCAGGACACCATTGACCGGGGGATGAGGTAGAGGGGGTGGAGGTGGTGTTCTTGATTAAAAATTTGGTCTATATGGACCAAATAGACCGTTCCCTAGCTTGTCGTGCATTCTTTCCAAAAATCAGGACTTTTTAAAAATGCCAAAAATCAGGACTGTTAAAAAATGCCAAAAATCAGGACTGTCCCGCCAAAAGCGGGACGTCTGGTCACCTTAGTTTAAGCCCACCAGCTGCTCCAGAGGAAAAAGGTGGCCATCTGCGTATCTTACAGGCTCAGAAATCCTCTGGGGCGATTCTCCTCCACCCTGGAGGGTTGCTATGAGTCAGCATCGATAGCAGTGGGTTCGGGTTTTAGAGAAGGGCCCACATCCTGCATTTTTAGCAAGTTCCCCGGTGCTGCTGCTGCTGCAGGCCCATGGGCAACACTATGGGAAACAAGGCCCTAGAGAGCAGTGATTTCCCATTGGCATCACCTGGGAAGGGAGCCTTTGGAAAACACCACTGCCTCGGCTCATCTACAGGTCAGCTGTAGGGCGTCGCTAGAGCAGAGACCCAGGTGTTGGTAGTTACAAAACTTGGCAAAGATTCCAATGTGCAGCATGGTGGGGAACGATTGCTGTGGAGACCACCTACCAACACCCTCCCTGTAGATGGGGAAACGGGCAAGAGAGGTCAGCAGTTTGCTCCTGGCACCACAGCACACGCCTAGGGTGGGATAAGTTCTTTCCCATTCCTTTCCCCGCTGCCCTGAGCACACCAAGGGCCGCAGCCGGGGTTGAGCCTTGCAGGCGGCGGACAAGGCCTTAGAGGAAGGGTCCCGTGTCTTCCTGGGGAACCAGGGTGGGGCGCTCCTCTCCTGGAGGGCACGGGACTGAGTTGTACGGGAAGCCCCGGGCAGACTGGGCTGGGGAAACCAAGAAGACAGGGTCTCCCCTGGGAACTCCCAGGAATGTGAAGCCCAGAGGGAGTGAGTCACCTCACTGGGGGCTGGAGAAGGCTTCGGAGGGACATCAACCTCACTAACATTTTTCCAAAAAAGCCATTCAGAAAGTGGTTGGGCAGTGTGGTGGGATCCTGATTCCAGACAGAGTTTGGATGAAGGATTTGTCTCTCTTATTCATCTGTTTCTACACTGGAACAAATTCCCTGGCTTTGCTCTGAATATAAAAGCAATATACCAACACTATACATTATATACATATATGTGTATATATATATATATATGAAGAAAAGACCTTTTTTTTTTTTTTTTTTTTGAAAAGACCATTTTTTTGTAGCTGGGGATGCTTTGTTGGCCAGAGAATCAGCTGAGACTTTGAAATCTGCCACCCCCACCCCCACCCCCCACCCCTCAGGCTGGGTCTCCTCCAGAAGCTGGGCCTGGTCAGTCTGCCTCATCACCATGACCTTGGTAGCCACACAGGCCTGCTCCAGAGCTGACCAGCAGTGATTTCGTGGTGAACTGGGTTGCACACAGCAGTCTCATTGTGAACTGGGCTGGACCCCGGGTGCCACACAAAGGTGGGTTCTAGGTTTCCTTCCCCATGGTGGGTCGGAGGCCACACCACAGCAGTGACCAGGACAGGCCTCTGGGGTCTCTCTCAGAGGGTGCTAGGGCCAGGAGGGCTCTGAGAAGGCCTGGTCTTTGGCTCCGCCCAGGCAGAGGGAGGGGAGCGAAGCTGAGAACGTGACCCACCTGGCTGGTCATAAGATGCCCAGGCCAGATTCTCCCCGCATTGGCCCCGACTGGATTCCGGGCTGTGCTTGAGGATCCTCGTGCTGGCCAGGGCCTCAGAATACCTGCCGGAGACCAGGGTGCTTCCTCAGGGAGACTCCCCCACACCCACCCACCCACCAAGGATGAGCCCCAAACTGGTGTGACCAACAGGCCTTCCCAGGACTCAGAGTATCACACCTGCATCTCGTGAGGGCCTCACCACATCCCTTTTCACAGAGGAACAAACCGAGGCTCAGCAGAGCCCAGGGACTTGCCTAGGTAAGTGGCAGAGTGGTTACTCAAGCTTGGTTGTACCTGACCTCAATACCTACGCCCCCCGCCCCCCATCCTAGGCCCTCGGTGACCACAGCAGGAGCACCCTGAAGGCCCTGATGACCCCGGGGGCTGGGGGGACTCACTGCTGCGCCTCCTGGTTGAGCTTCTTGCAGAGCTTCAGTGGGGGGACACCATGCTTCTGTCGGTACTCGTTGTGGGCCTTCAGGACCTCGTTGTTGAACTGCTTGGAAGCTGCAACGGTTTCCACAAAGAGAACCGGTCCGAGTGAAGACCCCCACCCAGAGCATCAGGGTAGCGGCTGCCTTAACCCTCAGGCCACACAGACAGGCTGCCGCTCCTTCCTGCCATTCACGCCCCAGCCACAGGGGCAACCACACTGCCCTGTTGTGCTTCCTGCCTCCATCCCTGTGGCACCCTCCTCCCTCAGCTACCCTGTGTGGATTACACAGACCTTGTGGGCCATATCTGGGCCTTGGGCATGGCACTGGGAAGCTACCCAAATGTATGCAGCTGGAAGAGCCTGAATGAGCCTGCTGGCTGTTGAATGGAGAATGGGCCAGAGGAGGCACAGAGCAGATGGGGGTGGGGTAGGCAATCACAACCAGGACTTCTAAAAAAAAGGGTTTGAAAGAGACTAGGAGTCTCAGACTGGACCTATGATGAGTGGTGAACACTGGGAAGAACTAGAGGTGGGAGCAGAGAGAAGGGGCGGGACTGGCTGGAGAAGTACACATTCTGGGACTAGGCATAAGGGATACAGTGGAGGAAGGGGGAGAGCTGGCACCCAACTAAGTCATCGTCTCCGGAAAGGTAAGGTTGGGGCCTGGGGAGAGAGTACATAGATGAACCAGAAGCGAACAGAAGTCATACAACGTGTATCTGAAATGGAACCCCATCTATTAATACCCAGCTTCTCCATCCTTAACTCCACTATTCATCCAATATGTGTCAGTCTACCCATCCATTCAGTCATCTAACACCCTCATCCATTTGTCTACCATCCACCTATCCACCTACCAGCCAGCCACCTCCCATCCATCCATCTGCCTCTAAGAGTCTCTTCTAATCTTAAGAATGGGGATTGACCCTCCTTGGACATGGGCATGAGTTAGGTGAGTCATGAGTGATGGTCACAAAGGCCTTTATACTGGGTCAGGGACATGTGGAGAGGAACCTACTCCTGAGGCCTGCTCAGGGGTGGGGCACAGGAAGGGTGTAAACTGAAACACCAAATCAGGAAGGAAGCCCAGATCATAGCTCCTATTCAATTCACTTTTCTTCCCCTCTGCCGCCTTGTCGCTCGAGAGGCTGAGAAGATGACCATCTCCTCCCCCTTAGGTAGACGCTTCAGGTCTCCGATGAGACCCAGAGGGGAAGAAGGACCTACAGCTTGCTCTCAGGGGGTCTGAACTAGCTGCAACCCTAGGGGAGTTGAAGATAAGTGCAGACCATGCCAATGGTGGTCATGCCACCCAAAGGGGTCTGATACATGGAGAAGGAAGTGGTACCAACCTTAGGACTCGGGGTGTGAAGGAATGGGCCAATGAGACTGACGTGGGGCTGGGGCAGGGACTCTTGCTGAGGCTTTGGGTGACACAGATTAGACATCATAAGCCAAAGCAGGGAGACAGACACCTGGAAATGCTAGCTGGGCCCAAGCAGGGAAGGGTCGTCACCAACCACTGAAGGTTTTCAGGTCTTTATGGCCAGACAGGAGGGCCAAGGCCCTGCTGATGGAAAGACGAGATTTCAGGTTCACCACGTCAATGCTGTCTTTGGGATAAAAGGCCAAGGAGGAGTCAAAGGGTGGCACTTCAGTCAGAATCCACATGCTCTCTGGTGAGCTGGTGCCTGCCCTCCACTAACCTGACCTCAACTAGAATCTTTCACCCAGCCTGGCCGCCCACCTGGTGTGAGAAGCACTAACAATTTAGAATGTGTCCAGCAGGCACGTGACCTTGGCCATGGGCTGGAAAAGGGGCCTTTCTTGCAATTGAGGGAGTCTTGGAACGTTGGTTAAAAGCACGTGACCACTCACTGACAGGTCAGTGGTTCAAGCCTATCCGCCACTCCCAAGGAGAAAGCCCCGGGAGTCTGTTTCTATACAGATGTACAACCTTGGAGACCCAGTAGGGCAGTCCTACCCTGTTTTATGGGGCTCTTGGGGTGCAGGGGTCTACTAGATGGCCAGGGGGCTGTTCTCAATGGAAGCAGGAAGAACCCTCTCCCAGAACAGTGAGCGCTTCAGCACGGCAGGGAGGGCTCAATGCCTGACTCTGGACTTCAGGAGTTCACAGCTTCTCTCAGGGGACCGAGTGATCCAACACAAGTGCCCAGGTGGACTCGGGGCATGTCAGGGTGCACAGGCTCTGGGTGACAGTTCTGGCCCGGTCCACCCTGAAGTCCCATTCACTCCAATGTCTCAGGCCACCCCAGTGGGAGGTGTCTGCGGCTGAGGGGCACAGGCAGTGGTGCCCACGGGCCCACTAGGGAAGGCTCCAAGAGGAGCATGCCTCAGTCTGTCGGAAGGTCAGAAGACAACGGGTGAGAGAGAGCAGGGGTGGGAGGGACCTAGGTATGTCTTGGGTCTGTAAGGAGGTGGCGGGGATCATTTGGTGAAACCAGCTCAAGGGCAGCCCTGCAGAGCAGGTGCAGTTTGCTGTAGGCCCTCATGGCTCCTTGGCAGTGGCACAAACCAATCATCCCCAACCCAGCCCCCCTCAAAAAACATCCACTGCCATAGAGTCAGTGCCGACTCATAGCGTTGCTCCAGGCCGGGGTAGAACTGCCTCTGGGGATTTCCAAGAGTAACTCTGAGGGGAGGAGAAAGCCTGCTAAGGCTGCTGACAACCAGGGCATTGCACGCCAGGAATGGGGGAAGAAACAGGGAACCAAAAGTGAAAGTTCCCAGCCCAATCCAAGAAAATGAAGCTGGTCATCCTCCCCAGACACAGGAGGGCGGCTCTGAATTCTCAGGAATGAGTCAAGAGGTCTGGCAATCAGGAGAAGAAGCCTGGTCTCCCCACCCCTCGCTGGGAGGGGTGGGGGCCCCACAAGGACACCTCAGGCAGGCCCCTGGAGTCCCTTGCCACCAAGGCCTCCAGGCCTGGCTCAGATGGCTCCTCCCTGACGGCCTGAACCCTGGGAGGCCAGATAAGACTGGGCACCACACCCTATCAGAGGCACACTGGACTTCGGTTGAAAACACCAAGGGTACAGGCAGTCTAAGGGATCATCGGCATAAGTAAATATCAAAGACAAACAATCCTACTCCCAGCCATCTCACTGTGGGGCGAGGTGAAGGGTAAATCAAGGGCCAGAGAAGTCTCCCAGCCCTGTCGGCCCCAGGCTGGCCCTTGTTGCTGGCTAGCCAGTCCTGGGGGCGGGGTCTGAGCATGACCGCCTTCATTTGTACCACCTGCTCAGGGAGCTTCCACTATTGGATTCTTTTCTTGGATGAGGAAACTGCGGCTCTAGACGTGCAGTAGCCAGCCCATTCCCACCACATGGATGGGCCTGTTTGCAGGGAAACTATGTCCGGGGCAAAGACTCTGATCTTAACCCCACACCACAGGCCAGTCACAGACGGAGGTGAGAGAAGGGACAGCCAGAGTGGGCTGGGGGGAGGGGGCCAGGAAGACTAAGGGCAGGCCCATGAGGACAGCAGAGGGGCAGAGGGCAGCAGCTGCCTTCAAATCTGAAGGCATTGGGCGGGGAGGGAGGGAACTCTAAGATGTCATGAATGCCAAGCTGTGTCAAGCCCTTTATAAACAGGCTTGTTGCCTGAGGGCCTCTGCGAGCAAATAAGGCAGCAGATTTGGGGCTTAAAATAAAAGTCGGAGCCACTAGAATGTGGCAGGAGCTGCCTCAGTTTGCCGAGCCCCTGTCCCTGAGGGAAGGGACCTGACTGGCCACTGTTTCTGATGAAGTGGAGGGTACAGGTACATGTTGTACATGGAGTTGAACCAGGGGCTCTTTAAAGTCCCTCTGGGAACCGAGTCTCTATTGCCGACAAACACAGGTCACCCAATCAGCAAGATATGCCCCAAACCCAAACTCGCTATGAGCCGATTCCGACTCAGAGTGACCCGATACCAGGTTTTTGAGATAGTAAATCTTGACAGCCTCAACTCTCTCCCTTGGAGTAGCTGGTGGGTTTGAACCACTGACTTAGCAGTCCAACAAGCCTCTCACAGTGCCACTACGTCTCTTTATGCGGGGGTTTAATTGTGTTTAAGGTGCCTTGGTGCAGAGTGGTTGCACATTGGGCTGCTAACTGTAAGGTCTGCAGTTCAAAACTACCAGTCGCTCCGCCGGAGAAAGACAGGACTTTCTACTGTAAAGAGTCACGGTCTCAAACCCACAGGAGCAGTTCTACCCTGGACGATAGGGTTGTATGAGCTGGCATCAACTGGATGGCAGTGAGTTAACAATTTTTTAAATTGTGTTTACTAATCTATAATGAACAATTTCATCTGGGCTTGATGTGATGAAACCCCGGTGAAGTCGTTCACCACAGAGCAATAAGTAAGCACAATTAGGCCCAGCCGGACCTTGCTTACCTTAAGCCCTTACATGCTTGTTTGTGCCCCTGCCTTCCCTCCTGACTGACGTCTGAATGAAGGTTCTGAGGAGGTCCATGCCCTCCTCCCTGTCCTGGCTCTTCTCTTAGCATCCCCGCTCCTCTCACTAAGCCACTGGCCTCATTTCTCTACCCTCTCCTGACTCCCCTTGAGGAGGCTGTGAGGGAGGGGAAAATAATGAGGAGCTGATACCAAGTGCTCTGGTGGCACTGTCAGTTGGTTGTTGGGCTGCTAATCGCAAGGTCAGTGGTTCAAATCTACCACAGGAAAAAGAGGAAAAAGGACCATTTTAGAAATGACATAAATACTCAATGTTTTTACCGTGAAAAATGGATCTATGTCCATAAAGAAAGCACAAAAGAAAGGCATGGCTATTGTACTTTGGGAGATGATGATGGCAACAATGTGCTTGACACTGAATTGTGATAAGAGTTGTACAAACCCCCAATAAAATGATTTTTTAAAAAAGAAGAAAGAAAGAGGCCTGGGACAGTTAGGCCAACTAAGTCAAGGTCAACTAGGGACCAGGACAGGGAGTGTGAACAGGCCCCTCCATCCCCTGGCTCAGCGGCTTAAAGCAACTTGGACTCCCCTTTGGGGCACAGCTGGTTTTGCTTGTCTTTCAGGAAGAAAGAGTGGGGGCCGAGAGAGAGTGCCTGATGAATAGATCCTTCCCTTGAAGCCGTGGTTCCAGAGAATTAAAGAGGTAAGTCTCAGTTCTGCCTTTTAGTGGCTGTGTGACCTTGGACACGTTGCTTAATCACTGTGCCTCATTTCCCCCATGTGTAAAACGAGGATGGCAGCTCCTGACTCACAGGGTTGTTGTGATAAAATGAGTCCACCTATGGAAATTGTTTTGAATGGCTGTGATGATGGCCACTCCTGTTGGGCCGATAGCAGATGGGGGTTTGCATGGAGTCCTGGTGGTGCAGTAGTTAAGCATTGAGCTGCAATCCAAATGGTCAGCAGTTCAAAACCACCAGCAGCTCCAAGGGAGAAAGACTGGGCTTTCTATTGCCATAAACAGTTAGAGTCTTGGGAACTCCACAGGCGTCACTATGAGTCAGCGATGACTCAATGACAGTGAGTGTTTGGTGGTTTTTTTTTGGTTGGGTGGATGACCAGGGGCCTCTGGCCCTCAGAGAACCTGCCCTATGTGACCCCATCCCTTGTCCTTCATAGGAAGTGGGCTGCTGGCATTTAAACTGATCTTTGATAGCATTTCAGTCCCTCTGAGCTGAGTGTGCTGAATGAACAAATGAATGCATTTCTCATCCCAGCACAGGGAAACCATGGGGCAGGAGTCCTCTCCTCATTTTGATGAGGAAACTGAGGGCACAGTAGGGTTTCGGGGAGGGATGAGAGTTGCCCGAGGTCACACAGTGAGTCCATGTGAGAGCCAAGTTTAAGAACAGGGCCTGCCTTTACCGCCTCCCTTGCTGCAAGTCATTCATTCTTCCCCCTTCCCATACATCTCCCACCTCCCTAGTGGCAAGAAGGGTAGTCGATGAACAGCGTACAATTGCTTAAGAGAGCAAGGATTCTGGGCCCTGAGAATTTGGCAGGTGGCCTGCTCCTCCTCCCCCTGGAAAGGAGAGGTTGCTCTGTCCAGCACAGATGCCCACTCTGCAGGTTGGCCTAGCCAGACACGGGTCCCTGCAGGCAGTGGGCAAGTCCCTGCTTCCCATTCAGGTGAGAAGGATGTCATCTGTGTGGTCCATATGTCATTCTTTGAATGAAATCTTGACTAAAACCAACAGATCACCATGGAGTTGGTTCCCACTGCCAAGGCCTGAGAACGCACATAGCAGAAAATCCCTGGGTTAATTTGTCCCCGACAGGAGCCCTGGTGGCATAGTGGATTACACCTTGGCCTTTTACCCATAAGGTCAGCAGTTCAAAACCAGCAGCCGCAGGTTTTGGAGAAAGATGAGGCTTTTTACTCCCATAAGGATATACCGTCTCGGAAACCCATAAGGACAGTTGCTATGAGTTAGAATCAACTTGATGGAGGCGAGTTTTTAGTTTCAGAATTTGTCCCTGAAGCCTTTATGCTCAATTCTTCTGGTGCGAGCAGCTGTGGGCCTAGTGCCGCTGAGATTCTTATTGATGATAGAGGGTGTGTCAGACTGGGCCAGAGTCGAGGTGGGCTGGGCGGTCAGTTGGTAGAGGGAAAAGCAAATTGGGAGTTTGAGACCTAGGTTCAAACCCCAGTTTAGCCACTTACTGGTCAAGGTGTGACCTTGGG